TTTTAAAAAACATAAAATTGCCAAGGTTTTGGTGTCAAATATGTTGATTGATCAGCTCATGTTCATTGGACAAACCTTTTCCAAGTTTCAAGTTCATCATTAAACCAAGCAAGTTTCATGTGGTTTGGCCAATCTAACAGCGCAAACGAGTGCTGTTCCCAGGTCTTACTAGAATTACATGCACATTTACACAGAGAAGTGGTAGCTATTCCTGCTTTCAGCAGTTTCCTTACTTTGACCCTCCCATCCTCCTTGAGAGTCTGCTCTTAAACATAGAGAAACCACAGTATCATCTTCTGGCAGCCTACAATATATTGCATTCAAACAACACCATCAAACGGTTTATTTAACATAGACACTATCATTTTCTTCCAAAATCTATTAACTTCTTGCATGGGATTATAAGAAAAATGTTCAAGCTAATCAAAGAAATTCCAGGAGGTTTCTGCATCTGTCACCCTAGAGAAAAGCATATGCCAGGAAGATAACCCCTCCTTAGCCATAAAACCATGTTTATTGCCCCAACAATGTTACAAAAACTCAGGAAAGCTGCATTTTAAACTTTACCTTGCTTTAACTTTATAGTGTTTTCTTTTGTGCTATGTTTAAAAGATGTATTGGTTATTAAAATGGGTGTTTTGTAGAAAATATTTAATTGCTACAACAAAGAGGTTGTAACTCTAAGGAGCTTGGGTCAACAGACAAACCAAAAAAATGTCTTATCTAGAAGAGATACATCCCTCTCCTTTGGTACAAATGTAATCCTACTGTTAGGAATACAAAGCATGCAAAACAGTCATGTCTTAAGTAAAGATCTGATCAAGTTGGAAAAATTGTGACAATGTTCTTTATGCAGTATACTTTAAAAAGGAAGATAGGAAACAGGAAAGTCTTATCAGAGCAATAGATCTAGGTGGTAAAAGGACTATGCCATTCCCCTCTGCCCCCTTTTCTTTTATAGAAAAACCTCTGCTTGTGTCTTTAAAACTCCAAGGAAAAATATGTGTAATAGGAAATATTTTAAACCTTTTGTTTATTTATTAAATGTTGAAATGGCAAACCCCTTTGCATACTTGCAAATATCTTAAGTAAATGCAAAGCTCCTAATATGATTTCCTAATATGATTGCTATGCAAATGGTTAAGAAAATTATGTACCAGCATGGAATCTAATGACCTTGCTAATCAAGTTACTAATGTAAGAAGCTATTTAAGTATAGATTATTTATATTAACGGGACATTAATTATTACCAGTGCTCAATAAATTCCCTCAGTCAGCTCAGGAAAACTGGAATCATCTTTCCAAACATTGTCATGAAGAATCAACAGCTTCTTTAATAGCTAATATGCTAAAGATACTCTAAGAATTATTTAATTTTCAAAATACTTTTTTGAGAACTGTAAGGTGGTTGCAGTTCTCTTCCTGCCTTCTCACTGCAATGCTCCTATAGCGACTCTGTTCAGTGGGGGAATTAGGCGACAGTTTATAGGTCCACACCTGCAGTCTAGGCCGGGCAGCAATTGGGTCTGTGAGCCCCGGCTCTCAACCAGAGCGGGACAGCACACAGTTAATGCTTCTAGCCCGTAGTCGGGCAGTGTAGCAGTAAGTCTATAGGCCAAGCGCCCTCAATCAGGGCAGGAGCGTAACCAGTTAAGGGCTCTGGCATGCAGTCAGGCAGAGCAGTAGGGCATCTGTCTGCCCAGGGCCCTCAATCAGGGCGGGGCAGCAATCAGGTAATGGCTCTGGCCTACAGTCAGGTAGAGCAACACAGCAGTCTGGGGGGGTAGGGGGGGATTAGTTCTCTGGCAAGAGAGCCAGCCAAACCGTCTGGCGTCCTAGCCTGGGCAGGCACCAGACCAATACAGGCCTCCTGGCCTAAAGGTGAGGAGGCTGCCACTCCCAGGAGTAGGGTGGCAGGGAGTAGGGGGATACAGGCCCACCCACTCCACTGCATTCCAGCCCAGGGCCCAAACAGGGCGGACTGGTCCGCCACTGGGTCAGCAGGGAAATCTGGCCACAACACGCTGGTCGACTTGCAGTTTGTAACACAGCCAAACCCTATTTGGCTTTTTTGGGCTCCTTCCTACACTCCCAGTCAGGCGGTACCTGGGTTCCAGGATTGTTGTTTGCCTTGCTGGGGTAGACAGCTAATGGCAGCCCCAACAGCTCCTCTGTGTCCCCAGTGTCTGGCAACTCCAGCAGTCCCTCCGGGTCTCTGGCAGTGTAGCGGCCTCCATCAGGTCCGGCTCCAGCAGCAGGGTGGAAACATCCTTCTCCTCTGGCAGCTCTGGCCCAACTGAGCTGGAGGGCCCGCCTTTTATATTTCTGGTTCCTGCCCCACCTCTGCTTCTGGCGAGGTAGCCATGAATATCCCGGTTCTGCTCACCAGGGGGCGGTCACAGTTCTTTCCCTGTCCGTCAGGGAGGGAGACCACGCCCCCTCGCTACACCCACCCCGCTCAAGTCCAGCCCCCACTCTCCGGGGCTGGTATGGTCCCACTCCCCCAGCCAGGAGAGACCATCCACATTTGCATTCTCTTTACCTGCCCTATGTTGTATGGTAAATGCAAACAGTTGAAGGGCAAGGTACCACTTCATTAGCCTCGCGTTAGTGTGTTTCATGATCTGGAGCCACTTGGGCGGGGGGTGATCCATGACCACAATAAAGGAGTCCCCCAGGAGGTAATACCGAAGGCCTTCACAGCCCATTTAACTGCCAGGGGCTCCTTCTCCATGATTGAATAGTAGGGGGGGAATAGTTGCATTCTCGGGGAAAGAGCTTCCGACTAATGTAAAGGACAGGGTGTTCCTCTCCTTTGAGGTCTGAGAGAGGACAGCCCCGAATCCCACTGCCGAGGCATCGGTCTGGACCACAACCCTATGAGAGAAATCAGTGCTATAAAGCACTGGTTTGTGGCAGAGATAATCCTTTAATGTCTTGAATGCTTTGGCACACTCGGGGGACCAGTTGACACATTGCGGCTGGTTCTTTGTTAGGAGTTCCGTTGGTGGGCGGCAATCGAGGCAAAGTTGGGGTTGAAACGGCAGTAGTAGCCCACCAGCCCCAGAAATTGTCTCACTTGTTTCTTTGTGGTCAGGGGAAGGTGTTCTTGAATGGCTTGGATCTTCCCAACTGGGGACGCACCTTCCCCTGTCCCAGGATGTACCCCAAGTAGGTGGTCTTTTGGTAGCTGATTTGGCACTTTGACTACCAGAGCTTTAAAGGCAAGGTCTTTCTTGATTTTCCTTGTGAGTCTCTCCACAGAAGATGCTAATTTAAAGGACACTGTCCTCATCTCAGATTAAGCAGGCGGCAGAGCTCAAGAATATTTATAATACGGACACTATGAAACTAAACTGGTGTATGCTAGTCAGATTTGACAGACCTTACTCTGTAAATGGATTCCTGTTTTCCTCCTTGACTGTTGAGAATTCTCACAGCTACTTGTAATTAGTCTTCACACAATACATACCTTTGTTTGTTTGTTTTTATTTCAAATTTTCCACACATTTGTAAACATTCAAATTCAACCAGATTTCCACAATGGCAACAGCTGAATGAACTATGATTAGGCATTACCTGCTGAAATGTAGTGACTCTAGTCCACTGAATGACATAATTCACTCCAGTGTTAGAGACTCATACTAACTGTGCCTGATAAGTACCAGCTGATCTGGGTTTTTATGAGTTTTAGCTAAATTTACCATCCATACAGATTTGTGAGCTTTGGGTTGCAGATTCACCCAAACCAACAAAATTAAGACAAATATTTATTTTAAACCATGTAAGGTGAGTTTCATAGCACTCCTTTCTGCCCTCCTCTCAACAGGGTGGACTTTCTCTTATCCATCTGTCGGAGGACCATGAAGTCACCCTTCTACCTGCCCTATCAGTAATTCCCCTTAAGAGAAGACGGCTGGGCCACTTTCCACTTCATCTTGCCTCTTCAGAGAATGTCTACACTGCAATCAAAAGCCTGTGGCTGGCTCATGCCAGCTGACTTGAGCTCACAGGGCTCAGGTTGTGGGGCTCTTTAATTGCAGCATAGATGTTTGAGCTCGGGCTAGAGCCCGGGGTCTAGGACTATGGGAGGGTCCAGAGGCTCAGACTATAGCCCAATCCCAAACATCTATACTGTAATTAATCAACCCTGTAGCCTGAGCCCCGTGCGCCTGAGTCATCTGGCATGGGCCAGCAACAGGTGTCTAACTGGAGTTTAGACATACCTTTAGAGGCCAGCCAATAGGTCTGCTCCCCCATCAAGTATCACCGGGAAGTCAGAGAGCTACTCCTGCCCCATTCTGTAGCACAAAGAACAGGACATGCTTCTTTAACTGTGCTACTGACATAGTTCAAAGCCCTTTATCTCATGCCTGGGATAAGAGACCCAAGAGTGCATCACCAGATTACGTAGTCCTCAAAATTGCAATACCTATAGTGAGGCAAAAGACCTTGAGAAGTGGTAACAGCATTGCAGGAGGAGCATATCCGAGCCGTGATACTGCAGAATGGATTTTAAGGGTTGCAAGCAGGATTCCTGTTACAGTGAACATAGGGTTGGTGGATAAGGCTAACCAACCTTCCAGACAGCGGGAGGGAATGATCATCTAGCTGAGTTGTTGGGTGGGGATATAAGTGTGTATACCTGTTATAGGGTGACCAGATAGCAAGTGTGAAAAATTGGTATACTTTTTTTTTCGGGGAGGGGGATATAGTTGCCTATATAAGACAAAGCCCCTAATATCAGGATGGCCCTTATATATCAGGACGTCTGGTCACTCTAATCTGTTATCTGTATCGATCTACAGCCTTTGTTCTTGGTATCTGGTGTAACAGATCAGTGGCGCGTTTATTTTAAATTATTTTATTTTTAATAAATTCTCAGAGATTAACAAATAATTATAGGTGATTATTAATATACTGATATACTAAACTTTAATTATAATCCAATCCCTTTCAAGTTAACTGAGAGAATGAAATAAAAATCATCCTGTTGTGGTCAATTTCAAGAACTTTATCAAGAAAAAGCACAAATTTAATCTTACATTAACAAATTTTGTTATTCTCATTATAGTAAAAAGAGTAAACAAGTAGTAATAAGTAAATACATAGTGAAGCCAGTTAAATAACTAGGAAGTGAATGTAGCAGAAGTTTAAAAGAACATTTTTCTGTTTACTATACCAGCAAGGATCACAATAAATTATGAAAAATCCAATTAGACACAGAACACTTTTCAAATTTTGTATCTGTACAGATAAATCCACATTTCAAGAACAATTCATTACAAGAATAAAGTTTCTGTAAACCAACCCATACAATATAAAACAGAACAGTGAAGCCCCTTCAAAGCAAACTAAGCAGAGAAAGAAGTAGCAGAGAGAAAGAACATGAACATTATATTGTGAAAGATACTTAATAAAAATGGTACCAATACCAAAGGACTCTTGAGAAAGCCTGTGCCTTAAATAGGATTAAAAGGAAGGTTTAGCTTCCTAAAACAACAAGAGTTTGGGTGAAGCTTGGACAACATCAGTGGAATTAGTCTGAATTTTTGCAAAAATTCTGCAAGTGGTAATTGAAATGAAAAGCTAACCAAAATTGAAAAAAAGAAATACACTGCAAGCTAGGTAACAAAGCTATCTCTTTGACCAATTTACATCACCTACAAACTCTATTGAGATTTTGTACCCAGTTAAGGGCTTGTCAACTTCAGAATGGAAGCAAGGCTTCACGTGATTAAGTTCAGACACTCCACAAGCAAGCAGAAATGGAAGGAGAAGGCAAGTTACAAATTTGCTATATTATACACCCCTCTGCCCCATCTATCAAAATTCTCAGATTTTCTATTACCCATTCATTTAAAAAATACATTGATCTGATTTCTTTTTAAATAACAAAGATTTTAGAGATATAAAAGAGATTTAAGGCTCCAGTCCTGCAAGCTATTCTGTACAGGCAGACCCATTTTATCAGCAAGGAACTTTAGTCAAGCCAATGGGGGCTCACAAGAGGGAAAGGTTCTGTCTGCATGGACCAGCTTGCAGCATTGGGGCTGTAGGCATTCTTGTGAAGGGAGGAACCTAATAACCCAGTATGAATTTTAGGCTTTGATCCTGCAAACAGTTTAATTTTACTCATATGAATAATCCCATTGACATCAAAGAGGCTACTTGTGTGAGTAAAATTACGCACATAGTTTAGCTGTCTGCTTCCACTGATTCCAGTGGCAGCAGGATCAGTTTGTGTTTGAAGGTGCCTTGAAGGGTTCTTTCACTGCCTTGCTATTAAACTTTTTTTCAGTTCTGTCAGAAAAGTTCCAAGCAAGTTCCCACATCCATGGTGTTTGGTCAGAAGTTGATTTAGGAATGATCACATATCATTTGCTGGAATGGAATTGAAAAAGGGTCCACATGGACCAGGCTCCAGGTTACATCTCTGAATGGCCCAATCAATGCCCTACTCCCCCAAAGGGCACCAGAGACTCCGAGGTGCTGGAGGAGCTACCAGCTATCCCTCTGTGAGTGTCTCCCTCCCTTGCTGCTGGGGCTGTCCCACTTCACTTCTGGGCCCATGATGTTCCCCCACGTGTTGACGCAGGTGGATGGCCTTTAGGAATGTTCATACATTTGCTTCAATGAACACCTGAGGGCAAAAGAGATCCCAGAGTTTTAAATATCTGTGGCTTAGGAGCCGCTAAGGTCAGGAATCATCTTTTTGTTCTGTGTTTGCAGAACTTCTAGCACAATGAGGGCCTGTTTTATGACTAGGACTCTGAGGCACAACACGAATACAAAAAATAAATTATAATAACAGGACTCCAGAAGTATTTCAATTCAGGTTATTTTTCTTTAACTGAATGATATGTTAGCCTTTGCTGGTCTCAATCCTGCCCCCATGTCAACCTGAAGAACAGCCAAGAGGAAAAGAGTTAATAGATAGCAATATCTGTATCAAAACTGGCCCATCATTATTTTTGGAAGAGGCAAAATTAAACACACTGTAAAATGGAACCATAGGAAAATATTTAGGGACAGGTCCACATACCAAATGATGACATACAAAGACATGTCTTATTTCACTACATCACAAAAAGATTGTGTATTGAAAAGTCACCCAAAGAGACTGACATGATTGTTTCATTGGATTTGAGTGCCTGGTGCAGTTTAAATCCACGATGATGGTTTTATCATAATGCCGTATACTGGTGTAAGGTCAGTACTCCATCTCTGGCTCTATTATGGAAAAGGGTCCCATAGAATCTGTCTGATCTATTTGTGCTACCCACGCTGATTACAGCACAATGAAACATGATAAAGTATGAACAGTCTATTCAGTAACTTCCTATAATATTTTTTAAAATATCACTTTGCCAGACACCTGGAAAAAAAAGTCAAGATGACAGTGTATTAGGCTTTGGAAGAAAGTCTCCGTATTCCTGGGGCTCTGGATTCTCCTGCTCCATTGGAGCCAGATTCGATTGTTTGTTGGATACAGAATATTACCTCAACCCTTAACAGAAAGGGTTCTCTCCATGTAAAGAAAAAATTGCAATACACAATTTAATATAAGCAAATTACTGTATAAGTCCAACATTACATTAGCTGTGAAAATTTGCATTTCCAGGGCTTGCTAGAATATTTAAATGCAATATGATATTGGTCAATATTCAACAGTATTATATTGATCAGTATTCAACATCCAAAAACATTTAGTTCTGGCTGCTAGAGTTCTGGTACTTATTGGAGATAAGATGGGCCACAAATACCCTGACATGTGAGCTCCAAACACCTGCTCTGACCACAGATACACTGAGGAGTATGATTTCACATTGGGTAAAATTCTGGCCCCACTGATGCCAATGGGAGTTTAGACATTGACATCAACACAGCCACGCATTATTCTTAGACAAACTCTTACTTCATCAGGAATTTTATCCTCAGAACCCTTTAAACTGAATTGCTTGATGGGAAGCTCTTTGAATCAGTGGCTGTCTTCTTTTGTGTATGTACAGTGCCTAGCACATTGTTAATGCTACCAGCAACAAACAAATAATAACAACAACAATGTGGGTATGCATAAGATTTTGTGTATGTACAGTGCCTAGCACATTGTTAATGCTACCAGAAACAAACAAATAATAACAACAACAATGTGGGTATGCATAAGATTTTTCCACTTTCTGGGATGCTGCCCTTAGTGCTACACCATCAGCATCCTTCTCTCCCTCCCCCCCGCATTTTCTATTAGTAATCATAATACCCTAGTTCCAGTTGCAGAATTACATGAGGACTGGGTTTCATAGAATCGTAGAATATCAGGGTTGGAAGGGACCTCAGGAGGTCATCTAGTCCAACCCCTTGCTCAAAGCAGAACCAATCCCCAATTAAATCATCCCAGCCAGGGCTTTGTCAAGCCTGACCTTAAAAACCTCAAAGGAAGGAGATTCCACCACCTCCCTAGGTAACCCATTCCAGTGCTTCTCCACCCTCCTAGTGAAATAGTCTTTCCTCATATCCAATCTAGACGTCCTCCGCTGCAACTTGAGACCACTACTCCTTGTTCTATCATTTGCTACCACTGAGAACAGTCTAGATCCATCCTCTTTGGAACCCCCTTTCAGGTAGTTGAAAGCAGCTATCAAATCCCCCCTCATTCTTCTCTTCCGCGGACTAAACAATCCCAGTTCCCTCACCTTCTCCGCATAAGTCATGTGTTCCAGTCCCCTAATCATTTTTGTTGCCCTCTGCTGGACTCTTTCCAATTTTTCCACATCCTTCTTGTAGTGTGGGGCCCAAAACTGGACACAGTACTCCAGATGAGGCCTCACCAATGTCGAATAGAGGGGAACGATCACGTCCCTCAATCTGCGGGCAATGCCCCTACTTATACAGCCCAAAATGCCATTAACCTTCTTGGCAACAAGGGCACATTGTTGACTCATATCCAGCTTCTCGTCCACTGTAACCCCTAAGTCCTTTTCTGCAGAACTGCTGCCTAGCCATTCGGTCCCTAGGCTGTAGCGGTGCATGGGATTCTTCCATACTAAGTGCAGGACTCTGCGCTTGTCTTTGTTGAACCTCATTAGATTTCTTTTGGCCCAATCCTCCAATTTGTCTAGGTCCCCCTGTATCCTACACCTATCCTGCAGCGTATCTACCATTCCTCCCAGTTTAGTGTCATCTGCAAACTTGCTGAGGGTGCAGTCCATGCCATCCTCCAAATCTTTAATAAAGATATTGAACAAAACCGGCCCCAGGACCAACCCTTGGAGCACTCTGCTTGATACCAGTTGCTAACTAGACATGGAGCCATTGATCACTATCCGTTGAGCCCGACGATCTAACCAGCTTTCTATCCCCTTTATAGTCCATTAATCCAGCCCATATTTCTTTAACTTGCTGGCAAGAATACTGTGGGAGACCGTATCAAAAGCTTTGCTAAAGTCAAGGAATAACACGTCCACTGCTTTCCCCTCATCCACAGAGCCAGGTTCAAAGGAGGCTGGTTACTAAAAGCTGGCTAGGTAGGAGCTTGCACTTGTGGGTGCCAGCCTGCTGGTAAAGGCTGAGCTTCTATTTACTCAGGCAGCAGGCATGTTTAAGCTGCACAAATATTGATGAGCATAGATGCTATAAATGGGAAGAGGTAGGAATGTAAGCCTGGCTTGACATAAGTAATTAAATATGGGGGAAACCTCATTTCTTGGAAGACAAGATTAGAGAGGGAAATTGATTAGCAGAATGAAGATGAAATATTTGTGGTAACGATGATAAATAAATGGGTCAGTAGGCTAAAAGAGAATGTCTGAGCTAGCTCAGATAACAGGGGGAACGCCCAAGGAATCATTTACCATGAACAAGATAACAATGGACAAGATAAGTCAGGAATGTGAAGATGCGGTAAAGAGTAGGCTGAGCATGGACAAGGCATGAACAGCGCATGCTGTCCAGGGATGGTTCCTACACTGTAACCAAGCCAATATAAATATGCACGATGCAATGTATAGTAAATGCAGTGAGAAGTGTAAATGTATAAAAAGGGAAAGGGTTTTCTGTGTAACTTTAGATAAGTGATGTACCCTGCATCCACCCCTGACGTTTGAGTCTGATCAACTCAGCATAGTGTTGCTGTGCCAAATACAGATACCTGTGTGACAAAGTTTGGAGTTGAACTAAGTTCTTGGGAAGCTGAGTGGAAAGAGGTCTCAAAGGAAGTCGCAGCATAGTGGTGCCATGACTCAGAGGCCCCCAATGTATTGTCTGGCTTGTGGAACTATTGGGTTGTTTTGTATGGCCCTTGGTAACAAACACTTACCTATGGGAAGGGAAGATGCTCTTACTTCCCTGGACTTTCTCGAGCAGTATTTGGAAGGTCTGCAAAATTGAGAGAAGGGATGAAGACTATTTCTGGTTCCCAATCAACTGGATGGGCTGATTGGGAATTAACTCATGTGCCCCAAAGGGAGATTTTCAAAAAATACCAATGGGGGAAGATAACAAAATAAAGGAATTGTGTCATGTTGTGTTTGATTTGTTATAGCCAGATACTTTAAAGGAAGGTGCATTTGAAATAAAACAGTCAAGGGAGACAGTATGGCCTAAAGGACTGTGCCCTTGACAGGGAATTGTGAGACCTCAGTCCTAGCCCTGGCTCTTCCCCTGGTCTGCTGGATGATGTTGAGCAAATTGTTTCAGCTCTCAGAGACTTAGTTATACTTCCTCTGTAAAATGAGAAAAAGGATTCTGACCTCCCTTATAAAGCATTTTGAGAGCTACCACTGTCAAGTTCTATATAACAGCTGGTGGTGTTAGCATTATGCAAATAATGCTTCTTCATTAACTATTTATGGATGAGATCTGTCTGTTATATAATTTTCTATTGTTGTTCATATCCCTTTATAGACATCATAGGGCTTTACATAATAAATCTTTCCTCAAACATTTTGCCAAAATTGGAGGCCTTTTTTGCCGTTTCTGTACCTGAAGACTTCCACCCCCGCACCACGCCAGCCACACCACCTTGCATAGGAAGTACAGGACAGATCTAACAAAGAAGGCCTTTTGGGATTTTCTGACTTTGTTAAGCCTTCCAGATGATGAGCAAACAAGGTTGTGCTCATGTTAAAGGGCTAGTTGCCTTGGCAACAACATCTTGAACATGTCCATGAACTTCAAGGAGAACCTGTCTTTGGGGCTGGACCCTGCAATATGCTACGGAGACCTAGTGTGCTCAAAGGCTTTTCTGTTACAAGCAGATTTTATAATTTAGGGGAGTCTTCCTGGCTAAGTGTTATGATAGTTCCCAAAATGAGTGACTGCAATAACAAGATCAGGAGAAAAAGAATTAACAAAAGAGGAAAAAACATCAGCTTAAAGGGGCCTAAATGCCAAGCCATTCAGAAATAAATGTTTTCTCCCCTTCCACTGAATATTCAGCAGCAAGCAGCTCTGATGTAATAGATAGGCCTCAAATACCATAGCTTGTGGGTTAGTTCTGACAGAGGTCAATCGTGCTTGTCAAATCGCTGGTCTATTGTGTAAGCCCGTCAGGTTTGTTTTGGCTTCTTTCAGCCAATGCAGACATGACAGACACACACAACCTGTCACAAAATTGACTAGGATAATTGACACCCTCAAAATAACCTACCTGTTGTCACAGGCCAAGCCTAAATACTCTGGAATAGACTGGGACCATATAAAAATGTCACTCACTTCATTCTGCGAAGGCGCGTATCGCTTTTGATATGGAAAGGTAGATTCTTGGCCTCACTCTACCCGCTTTGTGACTTTCAGGCAGCACAAAGAGAGCACAGCTGCTGGGGATTCCTGATGTGTGTGGGAGTCCTCAGTCAACACAGAATGGTTGCTTCTTACACTATCTCACTCCACAGCCTTTGGTGCAGGGGCTATATAGGAGGTAGGGAGGGATGAGAGAGGTGGGCATGAGGAGCTCAATGTACTCCAGCAATCCCCAGCTAGGGGACCATGAAAGCTGGCATGGTTTAAAGCAGGCACCAGGATGCTCCAACCTGTGTAGGACGTGCCTAAGGCTGGGCCTAAGGAGGGACAACCCCTCATCTTCCATGCCCAGCATAAATTCTCCTATGCTTTTCCTGTGGTGATTAAGTAAGGTACACATAGCTCAGTCTTGATCCCTGGCCACAGTTGCTAGTGCCAGCAACAGGGTAAATATAAGTGCTTCCCTCAGGAGTCTCAACAACAGAAATAGGGAGGAGCAGCTGTACACGATGTCCCCCTGGGATGTCCAGCTCTTGTGTGAACAGAGATCAGAGTAAATGAATTGGGAGCACAGGAACAGAATGCTAGTTAACAGAGCTCTGAATTCTGCATGGGACTTTATACAACTAGGGGAAACACGGGATGCCCTTTATCTTCCCTAGCATTAGTGAGATGAAATTCAGTTCCAGATATCAAAACCCCAAAGCTCAGAAGTGTTTCTACCTGGGGTTTTGATTTTGGCCAATTCTTTTTATTAACAAAAATTATATTTTTTTAACAAAATGTCATTTTCCAGATCTACTTCTGTGATTAGCCACAGGAAACTCAGTAAAATTATACTTGCTGGGACATGGTGTAAAAAGTGGAGCTGTGTTAAATTAATAGTTACTAGCTTCCTGCAGGACAATGCAAAGAGGATATTAAGAATTGAATAATGGCAGGATATTAAACAGGAGGCTGTTAATAATAGAGAAAAGATATAGTGGCTCACTGAACAAAGACTGTGGCTTTATTTGGATTGGACTCACCCACAGTAGAAAAGTTTCCAGTTGGCTTGATATGGGCGTATCTGAAGCAGATATTTGTCTAGCTTGTCTCCTCTCTCATCTCATTCTTGAATGGTGCTGAGCACTCCTGAAAGATGCTGAGTGTCCCTAGCTCTCACTGAAGTTGGGGAGAGTTGAGGGGGCTCAGCGCCTGACAACAGCGTGCAGCAGCTTGCAGGACTGAGCCCTGTTAAATGGTGATCTAAATTGCTTGCAACACACGAGCCATCTCTTTCCCCCATTTTGCTTGTTGTCAGTTTGTTAACAAAGGGAAATGATGGATTTCAAACCACATTTGCAGGGAAACAGGCATGTTTTCCACCTCTCTCATTTTGTTGTAAAGGAATGTTAGTGCTGGGGACATGTACTGGATTAATAGCGATGGAGGCCAAAGAGAACAAGGACAGCAGGGGCAGCTCTGTAAGCTTCCCCCCCTCACCTCTCCCTTCTAACATGCCTTCTTCCTGACCTGGAGGAACCAGCAGTCTCCATACCTGTTCAATCCTTTGTCTCTTTGCTAAAATGCCAACAGGGCAGCTCAGTTGGGATGGTGGCTGCTCATGGTCAAATCATTCTTAAAATAGTGAGATACATGAGCATAGAGCCCTCAAACAGTGATTCTCAACCAGGGGTACGTAGAGGTCTAATACAGGGTATATCACCTCATCTAGATATTTGCCTAGTTTTATAACAGGTACAAAAAAGCACTAGCGAAGTCAGTACAAACTACAATTTCATACAATGACTTGTTTATACTGCTCTATATACTATACACTGAAATGTAACTACAATATTTATATTTCAATTGATTTATTTTATAATTATATGGTAAAAATAAGAAAGTCAGCCATTTTTTCAGTAACTGTGTGCTGTGACACTTCTGTATTTTTATCTCTGATTTTGTAAGCAAGTAGTTTTTAAGTGAGGTGCAACTTGTGGGTACTCAAGACAAATCAGACTCCTAAAAAGGGTACAGTAGTCTGGAAAGGTTGAGAGCCAGTAGAAGTTACGGAAGATCGTCCAGTCCATTTCCTTGCTCCACCCAAGCTGAGGTACATTTACAACCTTGAACAAGACAGATATTGTTACTACATGCATGTGCAAGGTGTGGCATTTATACAGCTAGAGGTCGTATGCTAGATTTATAAGGTGTTCTGCCTTCTCCACTACAAAGGCCTAATACAACTATGAAGACTCTCTGCGTGTCACTGAGTATCTCATTGTCATTTGTTTGTGTTACGTGCCTCTATTTTAATACTGATTAGAACTAATCCTTGAGCTGACTCCTGCGTTGGTGTGCAAGGGGGCCCAGGGAGAATTGCGGAGGGGCTTCTCCTCTCCTGCCAAATAGCCACGTAGAATGGTTCCCCAGCCCACACAAATGCACAAGCAGAAATTCCTGATTGACATGCTGAAGCTCATACTACATCCCAAAGAGGGTGAGGTCTGTTACACAGTCCACAGGTGACTAGTAACTATGGTGCAGTCAGCAGTAAGTGCTAGCTGGAACAGGTCAGGGCATTGCATACACCTGCTTAAGAAGAGCACTAAAATGCAGTTAAAGGTATATAATGTGGATCCTGTCTAACAGAGTTCCTGATGCAAAAGCATCTACTTTGGCCCTACTTATTCTCCCAGAACTGCTTCTTTCACCAGTCAGGATTAGGAGTTGGGTCCATTTTACAATGTTTAGATGCAGAATTGGATCCAAATCTGAAATTCCCCAATATGTGGAGGTATTTGGATTCCATGTTCTGGTTTGGCCCAATACCAAGAGAGGGCCAAGCGGTGAAGTTCCAGTCCGTATCTGGATCTTAGGCTCAGCTACCACATTGAGATCCTGTTATAAATACCTAGACAGCTAACGTCTGGTTCTGGAGCTGCATATCTGCATAGTTTGATGGGATTCAGCCTCAGTACAAGCCCATCCCTAATATGCTTGACAACACACTGCCCAGACTTTTCATTCAACAGTCCAAATATATCCCTAGAGAAGGCTATTTTTTAATCATAAAGTTCCCATAGCACCTGCCTTTATTTTGTGGAAATCTCCTGAATTCACAGTGCTAACTACACATTTACAATCTTTCAAGTCTGAGATGCGGCAAGAGCAAACATTTTCCTTAGATACCCTACTTTATATGTCACCCTCTTAAATCAGTTACATTAAGTTACATCAGGCCCTTCCTGGCAAGTCAACTCTGATGATGAAAAATATATATGAAGAGGACAGGGGGAGAACTGGTTCGTTCGAATCTTTTCTGCAATTCCTGTTGACTTCATATGAAAGTAGGGCACCTCTTTGCATAAGACAACATGACAGTGTCTCTCATTTTAAAACAACTCATTCTCAAGTATTTTTTTTTCATGGTTGACTGTACCTTTTCAATTTGGTCCAATACTTTGGGAGATTAAAGATAAACTTTGCTAATTGCATTTAGATTAAAATTAAAAGTTTAGGCAAAGCATTCTACTGGCAAATTCACTGAGCAGCAAAAGATTCCCATTGGGTAAATACAATATTGTCTAACTGGTTTTAATCAGGGTGAAAATGCTTTACTATCAACCATGCAAGAATAGTTTTACTGCATGAGGTAGCATCACTGCAGAGCCTTATTGAGGCACCAAAAAATCCTATTAATAACTAATGATGCAATTATGATGCTAGTGACACACCTGATATAGCTGAGGGCATGGAATTAAACTGTTCTACCATATATTAGTGTGTTAAAACGGAAAGCCCAGGAGGCCCACACACACACTTAGGACCAAATCTTTTCCCCTGCTCACAGCCTGATTAGATCGGCCTTGCACTAAGGACTTCATTTGACAGTTGCTATTGGTGGTGGGGTGGGAGGTTGAAGTCTCCTTCATCAGGCTGCTCCATGGAGGGCTGTGCTCTTCCACTACATACACATGTACATGGGGGCGGGGAGGGGACTACAAATGCACGGCTGACATAACTCATCCTACCCCCAAATGCCTCCTCTTTGAGTCTACTTTAGAGGCACCCTGCCACACTAATTTTCACTGCATTCAGGGCCTTTCTTGGGCTACAGGATTTGGCACTTAATGGCTTATTCTCTTACCAGAATGTAGGGAATTTATGTATGTAATTCACATGAGCATTAACAGATGTTCCCCCTGCTAAATCCTCTGTCTATAAAGGAGAGAGTAGACATTGTAGGATGCCAATCATCTAAAATACCAGCTTCACAGGTGTCTGTCACAGATACTCCGTGACCGATCATCCATATAGTCTAACCAGGAGTCAGGTTCCAGAGGTTCAGTGGTGTGGAATGGTACTGCACCTTCCTCCTGAAGTGGTAGCCATATAGAGTACGGTATGGCCCCTAGAAAAGGGCCTTGGGAATCCTCTCCTGTGATTTCATGGATCAAGAATCTTTGCAGTTGATTGACAGTGAGCCAGCTGCAAAAGAACTAGGGCAGCTTTACAGGCCAATACTTTGACTAACAATAAATAAATGCAAAAGCTGAAATGCTCATTTAGGACATATTGCTCTGGATTGAGTGACTATCCACCAACCCTGCAGGAAAAATGGTTTAGAGAGAAAAATAAAAGCAAAACCTGTCCATACGTTTACCAGCTCTTACTCCAGCCTTGAGCGGAGTGACAGAGAAGTGTCAAAAATATCCACCATGCCTACAGACAGGGCCTTCTGGAATCAGGGTAACAGCTGTAGGGGACAAGAGTAGAGGGAGAACTGTCCAATACACAGAGGTTTTGTGTAAAGTATTTATCTGCTGCCATTTCTCTATGCTCACATCCATCACCTATATATATACACACACCCTTCCTTTGGCAAGGAAGGCTGCAGATTATTTTAGATGGATACAGCCCTTAAAAATCATTGCTCACAAGATTAATACAACAAAGACATTACCCATTAATAGAACACTGAATACAAATATTTGTATAAAATTGCTAGCACAATTGATTTTACATTTCCCCCCTCATTATCCGGCCATAGAAACATATTAGTGCCTAAATGTAAACATTTGTCAAGGTCTATCAGCAACTTTCCTTAAGCTACTGCCCTCCAGTGCTCCGTATATCCCACCACTGTATAAAGAAAAGGAGGACTTGTGGCACCTTAGAGACTAACCAATTTATTTGAGCATAAGCTTTCGTGAGCTACGTAGCTCACGAAAGCTTATGCTCAAATAAATTGGTTAGTCTCTAAGGTGCCACAAGTACTCCTTTTCTTTTTGCAAATACAGACTAACACGGCTGTTACTCTGAAACCCACCACTGTATGTAACTCATGTACCCAATTCACCGTGGGAGGTTATGTATGTGCACTGTAGGGCTATCTGGTAAACCTTGTGATTCATTTATCCCCATAGATGAATCACTGGCAGTGAATTAGGCTGCAGAATTACTGCACTTTAAGTAATTTCTTTTATTCATAAATAAAGCTTATTTGACCACATGGCTTTTATGGGAAATTTGGATTTCAGCATAATGAACCCAAAAGATCCACAGTCTTTATTTTCTAGAAGGGGTCAGTCCAATGAACTATAATCATTATCATTTCTGGCTGTCAATAGTCTGATGGAAATTGGAGCTTCTGTCCCTCCCATTTAAAACTCACTTGCCAGCACTTCATCCTCTGGAGTACAGGTTCTAGAAATATCAAGCAGATTCAGTATTAACACTCAGAATATCATCTCTGCTCACTGTCTTTAGAATGAGAGCCCTAGTTAAAGCAGCCATGCATCCACCTGCATGCCCACTGCTTTAAGATTAATAATATCTACACTTTAAACATAGCCAACTGATCGTGTGTATTTTAGTTCAACACACAAGAATCCTGAAAATCCGTTAATTACAATTGAGCCAATGCCCACCATCCAGTGCATCTGGACATCTAGATAACTAGATTTCCATGGAGAATAAGATACAGAGCATTTTTCATATAATGTTGTGATAGAAATACCAATCCCAAAAGCAGATTAAAAACTCAACAAAAGGAACAAACAAAAACAGAAGAGCTACTAGAAAATCCAACCAATAGGAAATAAGCATTTTTTACATAAAACCCGCTTGCATTTTGTCTTTCGCATATCAACATTGGCCTTTCACATCAAATTTATATGTGACATGTATTGGCTGTTCTTGATTAAAGCTTTCACCACCACAAAATTTGCCAATGCATCCAAACTTTGCTACTGAAGTTCAAGTTTAATAACTTGCACTTCATTTCTAGTACTATCGCAGCTTATAATTAACAAAATGTGTCTATCTATATATATTTATATAGCTATACATGTATATATACACAAACACGCACAACAAACACACTTGTAGCCATCCATTCCTGCAGTATTCCAGTCTCCGGTCTTCTTAGAATGTGAAGGCATACACCACTCCCACAACCACAATGTTTCCAATTGTTGCTATGATTGCAATCCATAACAATATGGCATCGTTTGAGGAGCGGGATGTCTCTTCTGGCTGGTTCTGCATTGAAGCAGCTGCATGGACATTGGCCGATGAATTAAACAAGGAGTATTCTGTACCAAAGTCCTCATTGGGTGAGTCCATGAAGGCTCCTCCCATAACAGGAATCTGCGAAGAAGGATTTGACAACATTAGATTAAAGTCCAGGGTCAACTTTTTTTTTTGGTCTTAATATGTTATTTATCTTTTCATACAAAGCAATAACTACCACTCATTCTGGCAAAACTGCAAAGCTCTCACATGCACGATGTTGGGATGCAATGATCATATATGGAAGAATGTCCTTTGCCAGGCACATTCCTTGCCTTAAACATTAGACAATGGATCTGTACATGCCTTGCATCATCTTCATGGGATCTTTGCACTTTTTGACAGTTTAGGCAGATTTTAAATGTGCACATCATAACGTTTCCATCAGCACTATTAAGTTCATTTCAGGGGACCTGTGATATTAAACGTGGGTCTGAGAAAGACAGTTTTCTTTCTGTACACCTGGGTACTTATATGACTCCCATCAAGATAATTTCTGAGTGGAGGTGGCTGGAGTTTAAATTCAGTCTGTGATTGGGGAATCAGGCACTTTTAAAACTAAGCCTGTATTTTTACTTCTCTCAAGCAGGATAATCCTATGTTGTAAAGTAGCTGCTCAGCTCCTTTCTTTGCTACTTAACTTTGCTCCTCTCTTTGGTGAATCATCCACAATGGGAGGACTGGAAGAGGGGAGCAGCTGAAGAACCAGTCTTCCCTGCACAAACAAGCCGCCTTTAAGGGCTAGGGGGCTGGGGCCAGCCAGCCCTTGTTACTAAGTAGGTACTTCTGAGCTGGGATCGGGTGATTCCACTCTAAGAGCAGCAGGAAGCTGTAGAGCAGTGGTTCTCAAACATCTGTACTGGTGACCTCTTTCACATAGGAAGCCTCTGAATGTGATCCCCCTTATAAATTAAAAACACTTTTTTATATATTTAACACCATTATTAATGCTAGAGGCAAAGCGGGGGTTGCCTCAAGCAACTCGCGACCCCCCATGTAATAACCTCGTGACCCCCAAAGGGGGCCCAACCCCCAGTTTGAGAACCTCTGTTGTAGAGAGAGGGGGGACACTCAAGGAGAGACAATGAGAAGAAGCTGTGGCAGAGGCTGCAGTCAGAAGAGCTGCAGTGAGCAGGAGGCTTTTGCCAAATACCCTAGACCGGGAGAAGGGTTTGGTCCTGGAAGCCAGAGGTCTGAAGAAGTTTGGGGGCCAGGGAGAACAAACTCCATGGGAGTAGAAAAAGACTCCAGCCAGACAGGGCTGAGAGAGGCCTGCCAAGGCAGGGAAAAGCTGTGGAGAGCAGACTCAGGGAGAAGAGAAGCCCTAGTAGTGAGTTTTGTATTGTGTCTTATGTCAAAACATTAGACCTTGGAAGAGCGGGCACTGTTGGACAAAAAAATGCCGGTGTGGAATTTATTTAAGAAGCACTTGGAAGGAGGAAACACAGGCAGGCTGCCTGCAGAGAAACCTTAGGCCGTGAGCTGGCACTCAGGAGGTAGCCGGCTCATTCGCACACCCCTGCAGTGGGGTTGTGCAGTGGAAGGCCTTGCTAGGGTATCCCCAGCATAGGAGCTAAGGGCAATGCAAAAGGAGTGGAGAAGGCCAGAGAATCTGGTCCAGTGAGGCAGCACTAGGAACATAACTGAAGAGATCTGGCACCCACTCCCATGTTCTAAATAAAAGATAACATTCCCTTCCTATAGAGATAGAGATTATACACAAATGTGTTCACTAGCATCATTGATATAACATGTAGGTAACAGTGTATTCAACTCTTTGGACAATTCATAACACAAAAAAATCTCAGTCGAGGCAAATTGGGTGCATGAAACCCACATGATCTTGACGATCAACTATTTTAAAGACCTCTCACAGCTGAACAAACTTTACCAAAAAGCTAAAATTAAAGTTATATGGACTTTTAAAGGAAGGCAAATGACCTTTCTAGTAGGGCTGTATATACCCTTCAGCCACCCAGATGTCAAAATGTAGGCAGTGGCTTACAGAATGGCTGTCACCTTATGACTAGAGTAAAAACTATCAACACCGAGAAACCTAGCAAAATTGTGCTGCTTAGAGGAATTAAACAGGTAGAATGCAAAAATAATGCACAAGAAAATGATATATGGTGTTCTTCCCCCACATGATATATAATCAGACAGTGACCAGAAAAATCACACATAATAAATGAGAACACAAAAGGCCCTACACATTCACAATTCATCTTCCTTTGCCAGGATAGCTATTGACCGAAGTTCAATATTTTGTCCTCCTGTGAAAGAAACCTACAAAAGCTTATTCAGATATGCCTCCTGGAATTGGAACATACCCTTGTGGAGACGGAGGATTCATAAACCCCAACATATATGCTGAAAATTCACTGAACAAGCTGCAGAAGACTTAATTGATGATAAACAGCCAGAGCCATCAGGTGGTGTGAATCTGAGTAAATAATGGAGTTATTTTGACATTCTGGCCCAATATGTTCAGAAACCAAACAGGACTACAGCGCTGTCTGCTGAAAATACAAGGTGGGGGATTTCATGCTCCACCTTTCCTCTCCACCATATAGACATCCCCGGTGCAGAAGACTCACATTCCATGCATCTGAAGAAGAGAGGTTTTTACCCACGAAAGCTTATGCTCAAATAAACCTGTTAGTCTTTAAGGTGCCACCGGACTCCTTGTTGTTTTTTCAGATTCCCTTGCTACACGTAATGGAGGTACCAACATTGTACATGGAACTAAACAAAAGCACTCAGTAAAAAGGCGATTATTCAGTGCATGATTCAAAATCTAAGGATATGGATGTTTCAAGGCATGTCAACAGTCTGGTAGTGAAGTTTAAAAGGCTGATTCATTCATTGTCTCCTTAAGAACAATGTAAATCATGCTCCCAAGCTTGTTTTAGGTCATATATAAAAAGAAATACAGCCACATCACCATCTCTTCCAACAAATCTATTGACTCCTCATCCATTTAAGGATCAAGTCACTGCTGTCCTAGGGCCAAATTCTGAAGGCTTTGGACAAAAATACCAGCAGAAAATCAAAAATGCTAGACAAAATCAAAATCTTCCTGCAGAAAACTTCTATTTTGCGGAAACCACATTTTTCATCAAAAAAACATTTGAGCGAAAAATTCCTGACCAGATCTAATCTCAACTAAATGCACTTGCATTCTGAAAGATATTCTTTCCTGTAATCATCCGCCACAGGAAAAGCTTAAGGCAAATTCAGTTTCCTTGTCTGTGGCTTCAGAGCACCCCCTTGGCAGCCATGCAAGTGGACAGGCAGAATTTGGGGAGTTCTTCCAAGAAGCCAACCCCTTTACAGCATGGGTATGTTGCACAGGGGGATGAGATATGGATGGCACAGGGCAGAAAGCCTGCTATTTACAGGGATCCTCACCCCACAGGGGAATGGGGCACATACAGAGGCTTCTCTTGCTATTGTCTGGTTGTGTTTATAGCCTGGCTTATTGTAGTGGTCTGTACATGTGAATAGAAATGTATTTGTAATAAATAAATTGATAAACAAAACTACTAAATAATGGTTGCAATTTTCAAAGCTGCCTAGAGTATGTGGACCCACAACCCCATTTATTTCAATGGGGACTATGTGTCTAAATCCCTTAGCTGGTTTTGAAAATCTCAACCAATCGCCTTAAAACAAATTTCTCGAGTCAGATTCCTTGTTCTTCAGTTTGGTGAAATGCACTTATACTGTTTCTTGTTGGTATTCAATCTGGAGTTACCCACAGCACCAAGAATGGAACCAATGCACTTAGGAGGCAGAGACTAATCAGCCCCCGGAGGTCTGAATAACAAAGGGGCACTCCACACACACAGCCCCCTTCACCTAGACCAGGGGTGGCCAACCTGAGCCTGAGAAGGAGCCAGAATTTACCAATGTACATCGCCAAAGAGCCACAGTAATACGTCAGCAACCCTGCATCACCCCCCCGACCCCAGCTCCCAGCACCCCCTGCCCACCGGCTGCCCTGCCGATCAGCGCCTCTCCCTCCCTCCCTCCCCACACCTCCCGATCAGCTGTTTTGTGGCATGCAGGAGGCTCTGTGGGGGAGGGGGAGGAGTGAAGGCAGGGCCTCTGTCAGAGCCAGGGGTTGAGCAGTGAGCACCCCCTGGCACATTGGAAAGTTGGCGCCTGTAGCTCTAGGCCCGGAGTCGGAGCCTATACAAGGAGCCACGTCTTCACTTCTGAAGAGCCGCATGTGGCTCTGGAGCCACAGGTTGGCCACTCCTGACCTCGACCTTGTGGACAGCGCTTGTGGGTTTGGGGATCCAGGGCTGGAAAGGGGGCAGGAAGGAAGGGGATGAGAGGCTGGGTTCATGGCAGGAGTGGGAACACTTTCATAGGTACTTCCAGAGCAAGCTACAGCACAGCTTTCCTTTGCAGCCATGTTGCCAGGAAGCTAGAGGGGGCACAAGGGGCCTCAGAGTAGGTGCAGAGGTATGAGGCCTTTGCATGGATAGGTCTTTTGCATATCCCCAGGTTCTGCCATCAGGATCCCCTGCTTATTTCACAGGGTGGGGTGGGCTGGTGCATGAGGCAAACTTGTCACTGACACTTACTCTTAGCACCCTTTGGGGAAAGTATCATGAGGGGTGTCTCACTGAGATTCCCCACCCCCAAATCCCTCCAGTGGTTTTTCTGTGGGAGGGTTGACTGATCACACAGCATCAAAACGTGCTGTGCCCTGTGGATCAGACACCATGAAGTAACAGTTACATACATTTCTCTATTAACGGTTTATTGCATGTGGCAGTAAGAAGATTTATTCCAGAACTTTGTATCCGTTCTGACCTAATAAACATGACTCTGAGGCAGGCCTGGGAAAATACAGTGCTTCTGATTTACTTGGGAGGACAGCTGAATCAAACCACATAAATAAAAACGCTATTGATCTTTAGCTGGTTGTTGCTTCCTTGTAAAGAAGCTAGAGCTTTAACTTAGCCTGGTTATGGGTCCCATCAAATGGTACCAGATGGGATCCACAATTTAAGAATGGTGGAAATCTTGTCATATTTTGATTATTAAGGCCCTGATCCTTAAAA